CAAAAAAACTGTGAAATATCCACAGTTTGATAAGTTAAGTTTATTAATTTGCCGCAATACAATAGCAGCACGATGGTGCATTTCACCAAAACCGAGGAAGGGCCAATATTAGTATGGATTTGAGGGGCAGAGTGGGATTTAAGCAAAATTAAAATAGCGTTTTGACAGGCTGCCAGCAAAGCCAGGTTGTGCTAGCATCTGAGCTGGGCTCAGAAGTGGGTTTAGGGTGCTTTTCCTTGGAAGCTACAAAGATAAATGGGGATCTGGTATCTAAAATCACATTACATTGATTTCGTTATAATTGCTTTGCAGCTGGGTGGGAAATGAGCCAACTCGCTCAGCTAGCCAGGTAATACTGGGATGTTTCCTTCCCACAGATCTGATTTCAAAAGGCAGTTTCTCAAAATCTGTGATATAGGGAAAAGTTTTTTTTCCCCCCAGTGATATGTAATCCTTCTCACAGTTTCACACTGCTCTAACGTTAAATATTAACGTGTAATTCATTAAAGAACAAGTTTAAAATTTTAATTTTGCCTACAATGTTGAAGTTTACCTAAGGAACACTGTGAGTAGGCATGTGTCTGCCCCCAGATGGATGAAACAGAGAGCAGAGAAGCTTAAAGAAGGGAGTGGAGACCCCTACCATTTGCTCAGGCCACTTGTGAGTAATCATACACTTTCTGAGTCTTTTTGGAAAGTTGTTGACCTCTAGACTAGCTTATCACAGCAGGTGATAACTGGATTTAATGCAGACAGGGGCCTACTCAAGAGAGAAATTTGCTTGGGTAAATGACTCCAATTGATTAGTAGAAATAACTGAAGATGAAAAATACTGGATGGTTTTACTCATAGCAGAAGTGTAGGGGGTCGGGGGAAAAAAAGCAATTGTAATAAAGTAAAAATTCAAATCAATGAATAACTATAAACCAGAGGCATTCTATGGGGATGGAGAGGGGGAAAAGATCAAAACTGGTGGGGGAAGAGCGCACAGGGCTATGGTGATGGCACATGCGTGAAGTGGTGGTGGGAAGTCCACGGGGATTACAACTGAGATTTTAAAAAAATACTCAAAATGAAGAATGATATAAAAAACATATG